ATTTATATCCATGTTATTCTTTTTTCTCAATGGAAATGAGTGACAGGAGCTGTCTCTCGTATGATTTATGCCAAGCCTGCAGCACAAACTGTGCAGGACCAGGAGCACAGAGCTGTCTCCACAGCCAGCAGGAAGGAAAAGCTGCTCAGACAGCAGAGGAACAGAGCACTGCACCTTTGGGCAGTGGGTTTCAGCCCACAGGAACCAAAGCTCAAGTCACCTCCAAGTCTTTGCTTCCCATCACCCTTCTGCTTGTGAGGAAACTGAGGCACAGGCAGAGGGAGCAACTTAATTCACAGATCCCAACTTAACATAATCTGCTTTCACTTGGGACAATGGCAGCAAATATGTGTGTTTAGTCTACAGCTTTTTTAAGGAAGTGGAAAAACTTGAGCGCAGTTTAGATTGTTAACGCAGGTTTAGGCAAACCACGAGGCAAAGCTGTGCCAGGGAGGTTTAGGTTGGATATTAGGAAAATATTCTTCCCCCAGAGGGTGGTTGGCACTGAACAGGCCCCCCAGGGCAGTGGTCACGGCCCTAAGGCTGCCAAAGCTCAAGGAACGTTTGGACAAGGCTTGGGTACATCACCTTGTCTTCCCTAGAACCTGAGTAAGTTAGTTCAAAACATAAAACCTCCCAGGGGAGTAGGGAATTCTTTTTCTGCCAGGCAGCAGTGCCTCATAGCACCATCTCCACTTCCCAGCTCTACTCCCCCATGCACATCCCAAATCCTGGGGTGCAAGAGCACCCACACAGGGACAGCTGCTCGTGGGCTAAACTTGCTGCCTCCACGACTGCAGGAAAAGAAAAGCCACAAAGGCCTCCCCTAGGAAAGCCTCAGGCGAATGACTTGCAGGAGGTAAATCAGGGTCATCCCACCTCTCCCTCCCTGCTTGGGAGCACAGAGAAGCCCCACACCAGCACCCAGCAGATGAGCTGCCAGGGCCCCACACCACTGGGTCACACTGGGCTGCCCTTGCCCAGTGTTTGCAGCCCCATGTGGGGATGGGGCAGGGCTGGCAGCGAGGTAAAAATAAATAAATCAAAAACTGCAGAGTCATTTGACATCTCCTGCTCCCCAGGAGGGTACACCACATGCTGCCTCATCCAGTCTGGCCTCATCCTGCTCCTTTAAATCCATCAGCCAGAGGACAGGTTTACATGGGAGAGTTGTTTTGTTGTGTTCTGAAGGAGTTGTGCCCACAAGGCTCCTCACGCCAGGGCACGACAGCTGGGAAACTAAAAGGTTTTCTCAAACCAAACCTGTTCCCCCTCAGCCTGCACATCCCAGGGCTGCTGAGGGAGCAGCCACTGTGCCATGACTCAGCTGGGGACACAAGTGGCATTTTGGGTAGACATGTACAGGGCACAGAGGGCCAGAAACACTGAAATGAGCCCCAGCACTCCCACTGCTGATGGGACTGGAGACCACCAGCTCACCTCTCCTGCCTCTGGTTTGGCCCCCTGCCCAGCCTTGGGGAGCAGGAGATGAGAGTTCAGGCACAGGACTCTGCTCATATGAAGTAAAAAGGAAAAATAAATGCCCAGGAGTGCAAGGCTGGGAGGTTTGGGCTGGGCAGCCCAGGCCTGGTGACCTTCTCCAGCAGCACCACCTTCACCTTTGCCTCCTCCACCAGGAGGGAGGTTCCTGCTTCCTCAGACAACACAGAGACAACTCAGCTTTCAACTCAAGGTGCCCAGAAGATGGTGTGAGATGCAGCTGGTGGGGGCAGCTCCTGGCTGGAGCTACCTCACCACAAGCTGGGGCCACCACCAGCCACCCTCCCCTCCCTGTCCCCATCCCCAGGGCTTTGCAGCAGGAGCACAGCCCTTCCAGCTCAGCCCGTGCACCCACATGAGTCACCATCCTCATTCTCCACTACTCTGACCTTGACCATGGCCCTTGAAACTTCAGCTTCATTCCCCACCCTTCCTCTATGGACTATGAACACTTCCAGGCCACAGCTATCTTTAGCAAGCATCTGCACAGCATCCAACCCAGAGAAATGTGGTTTTATCTGAGGTTTCTAGGCGTTAACCGCAACAGGGACAACTCACTCCCCCTCTCTGAGATGTGTCAGCTCTCTCTGAGCAGCCCAGGACTCCATCCAGCCCCACAGCAAACTCCAGCTTCAACCACACACAGCTTTTCATCTGACAAAAAAAAAAAAAACACCCAAACCAGAGCACAGAAATCCTCTGCCATCCCAGAGGGGGATCTGTGTGGATCTTCCCAGATAATCAAATTTAAACCACCACCAAAACAGACCTTTGATTAGCGGTCATGGAGCCCATTCATAGCGACAGCATGTCAGGTCAATGTGCACTCCCAAAATCAACTCTGTGCCTCGGGAAAGGGATTTTTTTTTATTATTTTTGTTTGATGGTCTGCATTTGAGGTCTAGTTAACAAACAGCAGACTTGGGTTGCCATCTGGCCGGCCTGAGAGCATGCCGAGAAATAATACTAATAATCATCATACGGTGGTGCTTTAAAAGGCAGTTTTACAAAAGCCCAGGCAAGCTGATTGAAACCTATGAGGCATGTTTTGCGTGCCCCGAGGGCTTGGCCTTCGGGCACTTTGCCTCTCCAATCAGCCTCCCTCAAAAAGGGTCAGAGTCCAAAAATCACGCTGCGGTTTCACCCGGAGAGTGATCTGAGCAGCGGCCGCTTTTCTCTGAGGGCAGCACACAGGAATTCACTTGTGCAACCTAGAGCTGGGCTGGTGCTTTATTAATTAAATAAATAAATAACGGAGCTTACAAGATTTTTCATGTCAACAAAGCAGTAGCTGGCTGCTGGCGTTGGGCAAGGCCTGCGTGCCTCATCCCGAGCAGGGATTGCCCGGAGGGACACGCGCCGCTCCTCCGGGGACTTGACAGCAGACACCCAAGGTTTCCAGCACCAGAGCCAAAAATCTCCTTCCTGGATTCACACTGCAATGCAGAAGAGGTTCTCCCTCCCATCAGGGCAGACCCCACCCCGGGACCCACATCCCTGATGCATCCCTGCACCCATCCCAGCAGCACACAGGCTGTGTCCAACCCCACTTTAACACAACAGAAACCAGGGGAGCATTTGCCCCACCGGGTTTTGTGTCCCACTCCATTTTCCCATACACATCACTACGCACGAGGCTGCCCATCTTGCAGCCGTTCTGATGCCCCCAGCCCTACAACACAGACAACTGACCTAATTTTCCTCTTTTTAAAAACACCCAGAGGTCATCACCGTCTGCAGCAAACCCCACTGAGCCGGGAAGAGAAACACAGAGCGACCTCTGCTAGCAACATCCCCCCTCCCCAAATCTTCCTCCACATTTTGCACTGTGCTGTCTCTTCTAAATGGCTGAGAATGAGCATCTCCCACATCCCTCAAGGCTGTGAAATGGTGCTGAGGAGCAGCTGGGGAGGTCCCCGTCACTCCTGGGTGCACTCCCGCTGGGGTGTGGTGTGATGGCTCACTACATGCTCCGACTCCACCTCATTCTCCTTCACAATTCAGAGCATCTCACCTGAAGTTCCCAAGGGCGTTTCTTGGCTCGCCCCACACAGAGAAACGTGGGGAGACTTCACACATGTTCGTGCTTCACCCATTGCCCAGTGACTCAGAGCTGCGGCAAGAATGCTCCCTCCCAGTTAACCCAGTTCCTCCAGCAGCACTTTCCCTCTTTTCCCAGCTCTGAAAGATAAGATTTGCCCCATCTGCCTTTCTGCCCAATTTGCCTTTCCAGATCTGACCAAACTCACACTTTCAATTCTTTGGCAAGCCCTGATGCTTCCAGGCACATCATTCCAAACTCAAAACAGACACTAAAAAAAAAAAAAAAAGTGAAAAACTCCATATTTTCCACCCCCAAGAATCACCTTTTTTAGTAAGAAGGTCACTCCAGTCACCTGGAGTGTTACTTTTAAGTTCCGAATTCTCAGAGCTTATGCAAGCAGAAAAATGCAGCATGGAAACAAAAAGGAAGGACATCAACAGAGGGTTTGGGTGTTTGGGAAAAGATAATGCATAAAATAATTACAGGCAGCATGTCCCTGCAGAGCATTTCGACTCTGACTCAGCCCCAGCCTCATCAGGGAAGTGCAGGTGTTCAACACACGCTGAGCCCAGACCAAACCCTAAAAGACAAAAAGGCAGCAGAGGCCTGGGAAGGCTGGAAGTCACTGCAGGGTGGTTTGCTGGGATCTCCTCCAAGGACAGACCTTGCAGCCTGCCGAGTGTGAGCAAGAGTTGGGGACCCAACGGGTCAGGCTGCTGCTCAGTCTGCTCTTGCAGGGACACAGAGACACCCTCAACTCAGCCACGAATCTCTGACAGCTGACAGATCACCGGCTGGAGGAAAAATAATTGCGTGCCAGCTTTCAAAAGGCAAGATGTGAGGGTGGGTGAGGTGAAATGAAGAGGAACACATTCATTATAGAAGAGCTCAAAGCATCAGCTCTGGTGACTGTAAACACTAGGCAAGGCAGGAGCCGACTCTGTGGTCAGTCTGCTGCTTCCATCCCGAGGCTCAGCAAGGGCAGAGTACAAAGCTTTGCCTGCCTCTGGCACAGTGAATATCCTTTTGCAAAATAAACATCTCTAAAGCCCCTGTGCTCCACCCCAGCCTCCCCTCTCCTCCCCAGCTGAGGCGTGAAAGCCGCGCTGTCCGACAGGGACTAAGGGATGCACAAGGCATTAGAGGAGAGGTTCTGCTTCCGTGCGACTCAGAAATGCAAGTCAACTCCTTTGGGGGCTGCCAGGGCTTCTGCCACAGCTATGGATATTTTTATAATCCAGCCCTTGAAAGGGGAAGAATAATCTTCATGAATTTTTATAAGACCAGCTTCCTTCCTGCCTTTTCTTTTTTTTTTTTTTTTTTTAATTTCTCTTTTAAATACTCGCACCACATGACAAGACCCATTCTTGCCTGACCTCGAGTCCCAAAACACCCCCCAAATCCCAACGCCACGTACACAGCCCCCGCCTCAGGAGGGAGGCCTGGCCTTACTCACTGGTCACACTGGGCACTGCTGGATCCCGTGGGGCTGCAGGCACAGGGCTGGCACCGCTGGGTGTCCTGCTCCAGGTAGAATCCGTGGGCGCAGCTCTCGCAGCGCAGCCCCGCGTACCCGGCCAGGCACCGGCACTGCCCCGTCGTGCGGTTGCATTCGGACACACCAGCACTGCCCACGGAGCTGCAGTTGCACAGATCTCCTGCCAGGGAAAAAGAAACACAATCATAGAATCACAGAACGGGTTGGATTGGAAGAGAACTTAAAGCTCATCATGTTCCATCCCCTCACCATGGGCAGGGACACCTTCCACTAGCCCAGGTTGCTCCAAGCCCTGTCCAACCTGGCCTTGGACACTTCCAGGGATGGGGCAGCCACAGCTTCTCTGGGCAACCTGTGCCAGGGCCTTACCACTCCCTTTGTGCACCCCAGGTCGGAAACTTCGTCACTCTAAGGATGATGTTCGCTTTAAAATGTTGAGAGGATAAAAAAAATGTTGGGAGCACACTGGGGTTTGAAACCCCATGGTTCATTCTTCAAATCACTCTCCAAAGAAGAGCTAGAAGATTGCAGGTATCACTATCTAAAATAAACATGTATTGCATATATATATATATATCTGTAACTGTATCTAATGTCTGTACTTGTATATACACCCATATCCACCCTCATGGCTGTCTGGTTCCATGACTCCAGGACCCCTAGCTGTGTAATATTAGGATAAAATCACCAACAGGTGGCAAAATCATTAATTATAAGATTCTCCATTTCACACCAGTGCAAAACCCCTGCTATACCAGCAGACTGGTCATACTGACACAACGAACTGGAACGATCATCTCCCATTCCTGAATCCCCTGAAAATCTGCCCTCAAGGGAGCACTGAGCACATGAAAACAACTTTAAAAACTGGGGAGGTGGAGCTGTGGGCAGACAAGAGACCTAAACAACAACAGGTGAGCGGGGACAGCTCTGGGGACCCACATCTCTGCTTTGGGGACACTCTGTGTTTACAGGGGTTCTGGAAAGCACACACTGAGCAGCTGCTTTTTTTAAGAGAGAAGCAAATCTTTTGATCAAGTGATGAGTTCCCAGTCCCCCCGCACGTTATTTCTCATAACGCTTTAAAGCCCCAAAAGCGCTGAAGAGAACAACCCTCTCCCCGGCAATTTGTTTCTGCCAAGAGCTTTATCTCTGTTCTTTCACTGCAAGATATTTAGTGCCTTAATAATTTAAAGTCTTTCTCTGCCAAGAGTGAATTATAAACAAGGATTATTTGCAGAAATAGTGCATAAAGTATCGGGGGCTTTACGCAACTGCTGGTGTTTGTTATTCCCCGAGAAGAGCCAGTGTTCAGGGCACTTCATGGAGAGGGGAGAGGCCGCCTCCCCGTCCCAAGAAAACTTGACTTAAAGCTCAAATCATGTTAAGAAGACTCAGCACTAATGCTCTGTATCAGCAGAAGTATTTCAGATTATTTAACAGCGACGCTGTACCCCAATCCAATGGAAAGGGCCTCAGCAGGTGCCATACCAAAAACCCAGTGACCAGATTAGGATGAATTTATGAATCTGTGAGTAATTTGGAATCAAACCATACTGAGGGCCTCAGTGTATCTTTGGAGACTCAAGCCATAAGGTCTCCCTCACCACAGCAGTGAGTTTTCAAGGAATGCTAGGAGCCATGTGGGAAGGATCCCACTCTCCCCAAAAAGGGACTGTGCAGGAGCACCTGGTTGTAAAACACACTTCTCCTTGTCATCCATTTTCTTCCAGTGCACAAAGAAATATGAGTTATTTAGCTCTGTTACTCTATCACAGGATCCCCACAGAAGTCATGTTGTCCCTATACACCTGTGAAATTGCACCTCAATTTCCTTCAATCCAAACTAGCAAATAGGACAAACACCTCAAGATCTGCAATTATCCACTTCAGCAGCCACTTCACATAACGAACCAAATTCCCAGCTCAATTATCCAGAACCTTATCGATTTGGGCACTTGGGCTTCCCCCTGCCAACAGATGCCACGATAACTTGTTGAGCAAAAGCACTTTGGAGTTTGTCAAACATGCATCAAAACAAATTTCCCTTTCAAACCTCATTACGTGCGGTGCCATTAGACCTGCCAGACTTGATTAAGACAAGAAAACGAGCATCATACCCGTTCTACTGGCACAGGAGGCACTGAGAGGGCAGGTCCCACACAGGGTGATGAGCTGCTCCGTGTGGAGACCACCTTTGTGCTCCAGGAGCATCACAGCCAGAGCCACCCGAGACCATCCTGACGCTCCAGCTGAGACTGAACTCCTTCGGTTGGGAAGCAATAGGTGATACAAGTCAAATTCCCACTGGAAGTGCTGTCATCCTGCTGGAGTGATGTGATGGGGAGAAGCTCCCCCATGCCAATGGGGACCACTCATAAGCACTGCCCCACTCCTGCCCTTTCCATCCAGCAAAGCAGCTCTGCAACACTGGGAGAGCAAGAAATGCTGCAATAATCCAAACTAACACTGGCAAAAGCAGTTTTTTGTTGGGAGGCTGGTGGAACTCCAGCTCCAGCTGCTTTGGCAGCGCTGGGGGAAGCTTTTTCTGCTGGTGATGGGAACACAGAGCTGAGCTTGTCTGGTGCAGAGGCCGCAGAATCACCCCTGAGTGCATGATAAGGCACAACAGGGCACATACAGAAGATGTGCCCCAAAAGGGTTGTTTGGGGGAGGCTGTTGCCTCCCACAAACCACCCCAGAGATCTCTGGGGAGGGATGGGTGGTCCACATCAGGGAAGCAGCATCACATGTGGTCCCAACCCACCCCAAATGCACCCAGCTCAGCTCACACATCCGCTTGGCTGATGCAACTCCGAAAATGCCCTGAAGCCCCTGAGGTCGGGCAGCAGAGGAAGGAGCTCCAGACACACAGCACTGAAATCCATCGCCTGGATCAGCATCGAGGTCAAGGCTTGACATGATGATGTGCCAGACTATGAACACCCGAGGCCTAATTTAAAAGGCACTTTGTTGTCCCCACGGCAGCCGGGCCCGAGGAGGTGAGAACGGTCCCTCAGCCAGATAAGGAACATCTGCCCTGAACTCTGGGAACACAGCACAGATGAGGAGGACTATAAAAGAAAATCAGGGAACATTGTCCTGGCTCCCGGCCATATCCTGGCTTTTTGGAGCCTTTATTCAGTTTTCTCAAGCAAATGTTTTTCTTTTGAAGGTAACCTTCAAAAACACCTCACTGAGAGCTTTTGTGAACACAAAGGAATGAGCAAGGGTGGATGAACCTCGGAAATGTCCCACTCCAGGCTGCTCAGCCAGAGCTGGAGGTATTGTGCTGAGATTGGGATAACACCATCAGCAAGGGGAGCCAAGGGCAAAGACCTCCTAGGGATGGGGCACTAGTCCAAGCTCTGACTCTCCCCAACTTGCTCTAGTGATTCACCCTTGCTCTGCCTCAGTTTCCCCATCTCAGGGTGTTCATCCACCCCCAGGCCCTCCAAGCCCTGCTCGTCTCTGCCTGTTTCCCATTGCTAAATCATCAAGGTTCCCCTTCCCTCCCCACAAAGCATTATACAACAGCTCAAAGCACATGGTTAACACTGATAAAACCCACCACCTTTGCTCGTGATGGCACTGACAGGCTTTAATTAATTAACAGCCCCATGACGTTCAGAAGTGCCAGAATAGAGGTACCATAAAACTGCATGTCACTGCCACATGTTCCCCCTTCAAACAGAAAACCCAAACACCACTCCCTTCAGGAACAACATTTAACCTTCACTTTTCATTGCTTAGAGGCAGGAGGAGTGAAAGGGAAGGTACAGAAAGGGGCACTGTGTGGGACACAGATTTAATGTGCAATTTCAGTCAGCCCCAGCCCCAAATTGATTGATTGTTATTATACAGAAGTCACAGGTTACCAATAAACTGGAGAATAGATATTTCTGTGTTTTATTGATTAGATCCACAGCATGGCTGTAAACAGCATTGACACAACCAAGAACCTCCAGGTTTGCAGGTGCCCTGTGACCCCTCGGTGTGGCCACCTCAAGCTCAGTGCCAGCCCCCCCAACACAGATCTCAACCTCCAAATCCCACCCTGATGCAAAACCCAACTCTGCAAACCCCAGCAACATCTCAGCCTGAGCCAGATCCATCACGACACCGTGTTCCTTCATCTCCCATCTCCTCCCAGTACCTAAACAGGGTTTGTTCTGGAGTAAAAATCATTTCTCAAATTATTTTTTTTTTCACATCCTTTCAGCTCTGCAGTGTTTTAGGTCCTCACACATATTTTAAGCGTGATTCCTTCTCCCCTCCAAGCCACTTAGTGAATGAATAATTTAAAAACGGGTGAAATATTTACAAAGGGCTAAAGAAGCCAACACTGTGAAAAGCACGAAGGTCTCTGTGAAACCACTTTTGCTGGGGACATCCTGAAACAGCGCAAATCCTGAACAAACTCACCTCCTCTCTGGGAGCCAGTATGGAAAAATCCAAGATTCACATTTTTTTGTATAAGAACGCACAGCTGTAGGAGCAAGGGAAGTCCCAGGGATGCTATTTATTGTCCTGCTGCAAAAGCACCCCCAAGGAGACAGACATTCTCTGTTCTATGGAAAAGATGAAGGAAAAAAAAATAATCTATTTAACTTGGAGGTGCCTGTTGTGGGTTTGGGGGGTAGCACAGCCACATCAGCACTGCAGCCAACACACAGCTCAGCAAGAACCTCACCTCCCAAACACCCCACAAGTATCCTGCTGGATTTAAACCAGCAGTAATCATGCCAGGCAAGGGGCATCTCCTGCTGTTTCACAGAATCATTAAGGTTGGATAAGACCTCCGAGATCAGAGAGTCCCACCTTCGACCGATCAAAACCTTGTCAACCGGACCAGAGTTCCACATGCAGGTGTTCCTTGAACACCTCCAGGGATGGGGACTCCACCACCATTTGTTGGTAGGGGCAAAGCCAGAAGTTCCCATTGGCCCCCTCCCTCACCTGCAGACTAAGGTGAGCAGTGCAAAGCCCAGCCCTAGGCTGGAGACAACTGCTTCTTGATTACAGAATGTTTGTAGTTACCCAGGGTTTATACCAATTTCCCTTCACACTACTCTGAGCTCCCAAACCCAGCTCCAACTGAACATCCCATTCACTTCCACAGAGAGGATGAAGCCCCTGTATCCACAGCACACAACAGCA